CTTTTTTCTTTTTTAAGAAAAATGTATTGTCTAATTGACCTTCAACATCTTTATTAACTACCATTGCTAATCACACATTACCCAATTGATAATTATTTTCGAAATAGATGTTTAGCAAATTATATACATTGCCTCTAGCAGTAGTGGCTGAGTTTTTGTCTTTCTCTTTGTCTTCTTACAATGAAATTAAGTTACGTACCAACTTTCTTATTGTCGGGGTTTATTTTGTCAAGGACGCTTATAATATATCATACGAAGCAAACAATGTAAGTTTGGTAATGTTTCATTTTCCTTACCCTTCTATGGTTAAGAAAATCTTGTAAATATAATGTGATTGTGTAATACAGTGTAGAAAGATACAAACTTTTCATCGATCTATCAATTATAGATGTTTCAACAAACGAATCAGTACAAATAATTACAACAACGACAACCCCCCGAAAAACAAAGAATATACAAATTGACACCAACAAAAATGGCGTACGTTGACCATCAAGTCATAATAACTAAGAAAATTAAATTTGACAAGTTACGAAGTAATCTTTATCATGTACGATATATTAATGCTTTCCCTCCCAAGAGTACAACCTTATAGTTTAAGGAACTTCAATAAATACTATTGGTATAGTTGTTTTGAGTTGTACCGGTAACTTTTACCATGTTGAGAATTTTTCTTTCTAATGTGGTCGTGGTATTCCTTCATGATGATATTTATTAACTCCATTTTTTTAGGTACATTAACAATATTTTCAACTGGTGTAATAAAACAATATTTTCAACTCAGATTTTGTGTCAATCAAAATTAAATTCCTTTATGAATGCTTATAAATTTGTACTTCAAGTACATTAAAGTAATGATAATTAATTCTATTAGGTGCTGGTTCAATTTTAAAATAAATAGAAATTTAGAACCACATTCAGATATTGATTAGCTGGGATCATTGTCAAAAATGTCTTGTTGAAGTGGAATTTTGCAATAATGTTGCCTAACCAAGATTTTCAACAATGTACCATAAACCCATCCAATCCTATACAGTATCTATGAGCCGAAATCAGCTGGAGTTCCATTAACATTATATCAGGCAATCTTAACAAAAAGTTTCAACCATAAATTGATGCAAAACATAAATCAGAAAGAGTTTAAGACTTGATCATAAGGATGGTGGGTCTTTAGGAACCGAATGAGCATTGATTTGATTTGAAGTACGTACGAGCAACAACTATGCTAATAGTATTATATACTGAAAATTATTCTAACATTTGTGTTGGGAATTTATATCTTTAACAGAAAGCAGTGCTGGTTTCACGTGATTTGGTGCATTTCTTTGCATATAGGTTAGAATATTTACTCTCAAGTCTCAACCTCACGTTCTTGCAAAGTGAATTTCAGGAGATTTATGAGATTCGAGGGAGTGCTAGCTTTTCACGAATTTTACAGCCATAAGAAATGTTCTGTTTAATCAACTTTTTGCTTCAGTGATTAAAATCTCTAGATAGATGAAAGTAAGTTTGTCCCAACTCCTTATTGATATGAAATATTTATCAATTTTAATGATGATTTATTTTCATTGAAAAGTCTAACTAGTCATTTTTAATGAATTTGTCATTTCAATTTTTATTTTTTATTTTTTATTTTTTATATTTTTTTATCTATATGACTCAAACTTGAAACTTTTTATAAAGAGATCAAATTTAATACCAGTTAGACCAATGAGATGTTAGTTGCCATATGAATTTGCAATGCATTATTGTATTTGAAATGCTGCCTAAAAATTAAAATGCAAACTATACAAGTGGTGTAGGATAACTTAGTTGGTATTTCTTGTAGTAGTCTCTGTCAGGGAGTTGCAGTTATATGGTGAAGGATCAAATCAATCCCTAATCTCCTTTTTCCACTTTCTTTCTCTAATTAAAATCCCAAAAGACTCCTAGCTATTTATATGTCCTTATATTTAAGGTCATATTTTAGGTAGTGTTAGGCTTTAATTAGCTTTAGCCAACTGAAAATAATATTTGTACAGAAAAGATAAGTAGGGCCAAATGAGCAGCATCATTTTCCATATTGTCAAATCATATTGGACCATTCATCAAAACCTCTTGTTGTTTCCACCTTTCAATAATGTTGTGAGGGACTCTCACTCAATTTAAGTTGAAACCCTCTTATTGGTATCGCATGAAGTTTAGATATTCAAACCTCAAACTTAAAAGGGCATTTTTGTTATGTTATAAGCACCAATCATGAATCGCGTTACATGAAAAGGAAGGCATTTCACATGCTTTTCTTGGTTTACAGGTTTCATCGATAAAATTGTTAATTACAGGACTGATCCTTCAACATTTGTGAAGTTATCTCTAACATCTTTTCTCCCATCTGTAACAAAGTAATCTGAAAGGAGAAATATGATAACTGATAAGTGTTGCCAAGGGTTTGGATCTTCTAGTTCGATAAAATTTCAATCCTTAATTAAAAATAATAAAGAAAAATTAAATAATAAAAAAATGTATGGAGTTTTGATGGTGGAAATTTTCACTCAAGAAAATTAATGTGAAAATCCCACATAAGAAAATTCATTATTGTGCCGTTAATGTTATTCTTCCAATTCAAATTGAAGACTCGTCTAAAATGTATATATAATAAAATATTTTGTTGAATATTAATGTATATTATTAAAATAAAATTTAAATTTTAATTGGACAACAATAAATCGACGCTTATGGTGTAACATCTTATTTATATTCAAATTGAAATCCTCAAAGTACCAGAAATTCTCAAGTCCAGCCAGAGGAGGGTCTCCTGCTCTTTCACCCCCACTCAAAGATCTTAATAAAAAAAAAAATATCTAGTGACTTGATCCCCCTGTATTTTGCACTTTTACTGACCTCGAAAATTTAGTACTTACTGAACGACTTAAATTATGGATTTGGTTATTTTTTTGCTTTAACTATGAAAATTTGTAAAGTAATATTTTAATTTATCAAATTATGATGAAATGGTTGAAATTGAATTGCTTAAGAATGAGCCCAATCACATGGTACAATTCGAGACTTAAAGGTCATGGGTATTGATGATATTTGCACCCCATGTTTTGACCTTGCACCACCAGCAATTTTTTTATAAAAATATTTTTCCCTAGATCTAGTTTTCATTGTGTATTTTATATATAAGATGTAAGCACCTAATTTTTTTAGAACTAATTATCATTATTATATGCATTTATCAAAAAAATATCAAAAACGAAAAAGAGGAGAAATTTATTATACTAATAATAATAAGAGAGAAAAAAACTAGGGGGAAAAAGAAGACTGAAGGGAAAACCTTTTACCCAAAGTGTTGTTGGATAAAAGGCTATTGACCCATTAACCCATGACAACCTGTTAAAATCAAAAACCCACAACCCAAACCCACTTTAAACCCAACCTATTATAGCCTAAGAAAAATCCTAGACTCCGGTGTATGTTGCGTCCACAGCCCTTGTATTTAACTATTTATCTATTATCTATTATTGTAAATAGTTTTTATTCTAAATTGTTTGTATCTATCTAGTTAGACACAAGTGTTGTGGAAGGTTTACAGCCGGCACCTACATTAATCACCATTGAAATACAAAACTATTGAGAATCGCCAATCTTAATGTTGGTCAAATTCTTTTGGGCCTCGTTTCACATATGGTTCCTTCAAACACTAAACACCACATCCGAAACCAAAACCCACCCACCAGGAAAAAGAGAGATAGGCAAGTGTTGAAAACCCATAATCCATATATAGAGCTCCCCATCTTAGGTATTGTTTTCTTAATCCAAACATTAAAAGTGTTTAAGTTGTCTTGATTTGAATTTAAGTTAAAGTATACTTCAAGTTGAGCACATTTAATTGGTTTAGTTTCTAAAAGAAAAACTCTAGTATATTTCAATTCATCAAGTTAATATATATATATATATATATATATTATATAAACTTTTATCCTTTTATACTGCGGTGAAGGATTTAAATAGTTTATATGAAATTTTAAGTTTAGTTTTCTCTGTTATCATTAGTAACATACAAATTTAGAGCTGAGGGTACAAAAGTGGAGAATGATGACTAAGACAACTAGAGTTGCATTAACTGGGGAAGTGGTAAGTAGAATAGATGGTCCCCTTGAGCTGAACGTTTTGTTGCTAGACTACGACTAGCTGAATTAGGTATTCAACAAGATCAGGGCATTTTGTTGAAAGGCTATAACTAGAGCTGAACTGGGTATTCAACAAGAACTGGACATTCTACTCAATAACTAAATCATCAAGGCCTCTATAATAAGACTACACAATAAACAACTACATATAGAAATTTACATTAAACCGCATACAAAGTAAGATCCCAGCATGTACCGAGAGATGTAATCTAAATAAGGATTATTCAAATAAAAGATGTGAAATACCTCATTCGGGGACAAGCCTTAAGTTGGTTTGATATCAAATAAAAGAATGAATTGAACTATAAAGTCCTAATCTTTAAGGCGATTTGAAGATCACATACCACTTTCAACTGTGATTATGATCTCAAATAATTAACACAAACACAGACCAATAGTCCAATACTAGAAGTACAAGTTGATCAGAACCAGCAAGAATTACCTTGTTATCTTCCAACCAAACATGATACAGAAAAATAAATATGGATCAAATTTATAGAGTAGAACCCAAGTTTTCAAGTAGGGTTGCTATGAAGAAATCTGTGTGAAATATGATAACAAAGTATCTCAAAGCCACTTAAATATTTCTCATTCTCATAACTATAATTATATTAACAAAATATCAAAGCCTAGATACACTGAATGTAATAAGGGTAGATAATTGATGACCTTTACAACTAAGTCCATACTCCAGATAATTTTGATGGAGCATAACATATAACATATAAGGTTAGACGAGTGCTTATTGACACATCAAGAATAATCATTGAATCATGCATAAAAACTACATGTATATAAAATATTGGAAACAAAATAACCCACTGTATAGCCCATCTCTTCAAGTACATCTTTTTCCATTTTGTTTGCAACAGTTTGAACTCTAGACCAATAATTACAACAACAAAAAATGCAAGCAAAATAGCATAAATAAGCGTACTGATAATCTAGATCAAATCAAAAGCAAATGAAAAAAAAAAAAAATCAAAATTTGTAAACAGATGAAGCTTTTTTATGTAAGTTAGAACATATGCTTATAACAAAAAACCTATATAAACTTCATCCACCTTCTACCTTCAAAAACAATTCCACAATGATCTTTTGCTGTAACTATATACAATAATGACACATATGCCATACTCATAGTGAGCAGAATCAAAGTATCAACTTAAATAACCATTTCAAAGTTCTTCCCCCCACTGGTAGGTAAAAGTGAAACATTCAAATTGAATGCAACTTTTACAAAACCCAAACCGCCTAATTAGCTTTCCACTTTCTCAAAAGCTCTTCATACACAGATTCTTTTCTGTCTTTAACAAGGCTCTGTCTCAGCTTGGACAATGTGGCAGAGGACAACCTGATTCCCCTTCTAATCATATCCTCAGCATACTTGACTGCCTCCGGAACCCTATTCAAATCGCGAAGCCCCACCACCAGAAAATTCGCTGTCCGCTCCAAATCCTTCCCGTAATTCTCCACCATACACCTCCAAACCTTCATCGCCATAAAAGCATCCCCATTATCCACATAAACCTTAACTGCTGCAGCGCAATTAGCCTGCTCCGGCACACACTCATTCTTCACCATCTCAGCAAACACAGTGGAAGCCTCCCTCAACTTCCTGCCCTTGATCAAGAACTGAAACAACATGTTATAACTCATGGTATCCGGAAAAACCCCTTGGTAAACCATCTCATCAAGCAACCTCCTGGCAGCCTCGGTATCGCTCTGGTAGCAATGCAACACAATCATCAAATTGTACATCTCAGTGGTGGGCTGCACGACCTTCCCCACCACCAAAACCTCCCAGAAAAACTGAGCAGTCCTCACATCATGACTCTGAAGACACTCATCCAATGCAGCCTTCAAGAACCTGACACCAGGGTAACACCTCCTATCTCTCATTGAATCAACAAACTTAATGGCCTCAAGCAATCCATCACGGCCACGAACAAGCGTGCAAAGGAAGGAATCATAGGCAGCCACATTGGCAGGATCCCATCCAATTTCAATGACCATCTCAGCAAATGTCTCCTTGGCACCAACAACACTCATCTCCTTCTCCCAACCCTCCATCAAAATGGCGTAGGTATCGGCGTCGGGGCGAACAAAGTTCTTGGCAACCTGCAAATAGTCAGAAGCATCAACAGTCCTACCATCCTTACAAATAGCACTAAACAAGGAATTCAATGCGACAGTGTCTCTGTGGAGGCCGTAATTCTCCATGGCCTCGAAGGCGGCCAGGGCTTCCGCGGTGCGATCGGAGGCCACGTAGCTGCCGAAGACGGAGGCGAAGGTGGCCAGGGAGAGGAGCCGCTCGGTGTGCATCGACTTGATGGCGTCCCACATGGCGTCGAAGAAGAGGTTCTTGCCGAGGAGGTCCACCACCAGGTTCCACGAGTAAGGGGTGTGCCTGTGCCGGAGCTGGTGGCCCGACCACCGGAAGAACTTCACGGCCTGCCCGGGGAAGCCGTACGAGAGCTTCAGGACCTGCTCCACGTCGGAGGGGGAGACGGCGATGGCGGCGGAGCGGAGGGAAGCTTCCAAGGCGGCGGCGGGGGTGGTGGCAATGAGGTGGCAGAGGGATTTGACGTTGGAAGGGAGATTGGGGATGTCTTGGAACGAAGGGAAGTCGGGGCGGGGCTTCGGCTTCGGCTTCGGCTTCGGTGGAGAAGGAGAAGAACGGTGGCTTCGCTTTCTGCTACGGAAAGGGCTTTCCGCCATATCGGAACCCTAATTGTTAGAACTCAGAAGAGAAAGACAGTACCAGGAAGATCCATGTTCTTTCCTTTTTTATTGTTTTTTTTTTTATTTACGTTTTTATAGAAAATAATAAAATAGTTGTTTAAAAAAAAACTATTTTTTTAATAATATTATTATTTATTAGTAACAATTATCTATGATAAAAACTGAGCACAAAAGAAAAATATATATATTCTCATATCTTAAACTTTACTCTTTAAGTTTTTATAAATATAGTGTAAATTTTAATTTCCTCCAAATTATTCTTTAAATTATATTTTATTATTATTTTTGTATGTAAATTTTGCAACTTAAATATTTATTAGATAAAATTAAATTTTATAATAAATTACATTTATTTTTTATAAATATAAATTTAGTTTAAGATAAACTCATGCAAAATTAAAATTAACCATCAATCTTTTTTAAAAGTTTTTAATGAAATTATTATATTTAATAACTATTTATGTCAATTTTACAAAACACAATAAATATATTTAAATTTGTATAAATAGATATTTTTAAATGTATAAATTATATTTTAATTTCTTCTATTATTTTTTATTTATATTTTTATGGAAATAATAAAAATAATTAGCTTTTCAAAAAAAGAATATACTCTTTTTAATTTTTATAAATAAACACTCTAAACTTTAATTTCATCATAATTATTTCCTAAATTATATTTTACGAGTATTTTAAAATGTATATTTTTATTATATACAATTCAATCTTTTAATAAATAATATATACAAATAAATATTATATTTAAATATATAAATTATATT